ATGAGGGGCTGGTGAGATGGTTCAGTGGTCTAAAGCACCTACTTAGAACAAGCTAAGCCAATCAAAGCACAGGGACCTCGGTTCAATCCCCCAGCACCACATGCCAGCCCGCCTGCCCCCTGGTGGGCTGAGCTGGCCACACACTAAATAAATAAATAAATAAATAAATATTAAAAAAAAAAGAATGAGGAAGCAGTCTTATACCGCTGGAGCTGGGGCTCGGTGTACTTTGCCCCACATCCCCAAGGGCCTAGGTGCCATCCACAGCACCGAAAAATAAGGCAAAGAAAATGTAGGCGTGGGCCAGCAAGATAGCTCAGAGGACTAAAGTGCCTGCTTAGGCAAGCTCAGGGATCCTGGTTCAATCCCCAGCACCACATGCCTTGCCCGTCCCACCCCCAGGGTAGGCTGAAGTCCAGGGGTGCAGTGGCGAATACTTGTAATCCCAGGGCTGGGGAGGCTGTCCTAGCTGTGTAGTGAGACCCTGTAAAAATCAAATACATTTTTTTAAAAAAAGAAAATGTAGGCACGGTGGGGGAAGTTTGCAGCAGGAGGTGCCAGCAGCCAGCTGGGGAGAAGCCAGGAGCCCTGCCTGCCTCCTGCACAAGACTCAGCCCTCTCCTCTCTTCCTGGCAGTGCAAAGAGCCGTCTCGCTCTTCTCTCTCAACGACCCCACCCTGAGCCCGGACATCCCACCTGCACACAGTCCTGTCCACAGCCACCTGAGCCTGGAGCGGGGGGCCCCAACCCCCAGGACCACCCCTACCATGAGGTGAGGTTTCCCTGGGGACATGCAGGGCCCCCACAGGAAAGGGGGACACAGCAGGGAGAGAGACAGTTGCTGCAGATCATGCCCTGCCAACCTCTAGACAGGAGTTCCTGTCACCTAGCAACTGTAGTCCTCACACTGGTCCCTAGCAGTGACCTGGACAATCTCTAGTCCAGTCCACGGGCAACCATGACTTATTTATTTAGTTAGAGTGTGTGTTAACATTAGAAATGGCCCATGCTGCCTCTTTTCTGAGACAGAGTCTTACTGTACGGTTCAGGGTGGCCCTGAACTCTCTTCGTAGCCCAGGCTGGCCTCAAGCTTAAGGTGATCCCCCTGCCTCAGCCTCCCGAGTGCTGGGGTTACAGGTGTGCGCCACCACACCTGGCTTGGCAACCATGATTTAATCCCACAGTTATTCCACTTCCAACCTTGAAAAATGCTAAGCTGTGTGCCAAGCCTCCTAGCTTCCTGCATCCATCCTATTCTGTCCGCTCCCTGGTCTCCCACATGCAGGTCCCCAAGATGGAGACAGAGCTCCACACCACCTTTAGCATGTTCCCTGCTGGGGCGTTTGCCAGCCATCTGGGGACCCTGAGGTGACTGAGGCCAAGCCTTGCCCTCAGGAGACTTCAGGGAGAGGGAAGAAGGGAGGGGGACGGGTTTTTCACTTTGCCACCTTACACTGCAAGCAAGGCATTTGGCTGTGCTAGGCTGGAGAAAGTGAGTGAAGAAGAGAAGGCGGAAATGGCCCGCACTGCCTGTGTGTGGCCCTGAGCGGTGCATCTGTTTTTCCAGGTGCCCAATGGCCCGGCATGGTGCTCAGAGGGCAGGAGGCCTCTTGCTGTTCCGTGCCCTCCACAGCACCTCTGTGCCTGACCTCAGCCCAGCTGCCCTTGGGGTCCCTGCTCTCACCCAGCAGTGCCAGTGTCTAGGGCAGAGCTAGGGTGGCTGTGGAAGAGGCCGGGCTGCACGTGTGACCCTGGGTTCCCTCAAGCTGGCAACCTCCCGTCTGCCTCCCACCTCACATGGCAGTTGCCAGCCCCTGAGATTCAGAACCACAGAAGGAAGACGGAAGGAGGGCAGGGCGGCCCAGGTGCTCACCTGCTGCACCCCCCCCCCCCCAGTGTAAGAGCCCGTGGTGCCCTGTGCTGCCCTCTTCAGAGCCCCTCCCAGCAGGTTTGGGTGCCCTTCTCCCCTGCAGCATCGGGGGCCCAGGCCAGGAGAATCCGCACAGAGGAGGGGCCTCTGGCAGCAGGTCATGGATTCAAATCTAACCTCTATACTTGCACAGTGTCCATGCTATGTAGCCTGGGAAGCTCCTTCCTCTGTCACATGAGCTGCAAAGTGGCCACTTACAGGCAGTGGGCTGACCATGCCTGGAGCTGGGTGACTGAGGGCTTAGCCTCGGGAGGGCTGTCAGTGGTGGGGCAGGGGTGTCACCGTCACCATCAGTTCTGTCACAAGTCCTGTCCCCAGGGTCCCTTTGTCCATTTATGTGCATCCTGTGCCTTCCCTGTAGCCCAGAAGATGTTGGGGAGCAGGCGTGGAGATGGGCACGTGGACAGAGTTCTCCCTAATGTCATGCTCTTGGCCTCACTCAGACCCGATGCACTCCTCAGGGTGCCACCTCAGCCTTCTTCAGGCCTGGTGCTCTCGTGACCCCATGCTCATCCTTAGAGGAGCGCAGGACCAGTGGAGGGCTGGCTTCCAGACCCTGGCCGGGAGAGGACTTGCTAGAGCCCTGTACTCTTCCCTGCTGTGTCTGAGAGCCTCCCTGGGGCTGGCGGCCTTGGGCCTCACTCCATCTCCTGTCTTCCCAGTGAGGAGCCAGCCCTGGACCTGACCGGCAAGGTGTACCAACTGGAAGTCATGCTCAAGCAGCTGCACACAGACCTGCAGAAGGTGAGGCCTTGCACGGTCCCGTCCTCCCTCCCCTCTACTCTCGGAGGTGCTCTGGAGTAAGGAGTAAAAGGGATACTGAGCCAGGAGTTGGGATGCACACCCGTAATCCTAGCACTTGGTAGGCTGAGGAGGAAGGTCATAAATTCAGGACCACCTTAGGGAACTTATCGAGACCCTATATCAAATTTTTTAAAAAAGGGGTGGGAATGTAGCTCAGTGTAAAAGTCCTAGGTTTTGTTTTGTTTTGTTTTTTGCGGTACTGGGGATGGAACTCAGGACCCTGTGCTTGCCAGACAAGCACTTATTCTACCGAGCTATCTCCCTGGCAAAGCCCTAGGTTTAATCCCTACTATTTAAAAAAATAATAATGCTTGTCCAGATGTGGTAGAACATGCCCAGTAATCTCAGTCCTGCTGAGCCAGGCCACTCTGGGCACATAGTGAGACCCCCATCTCAGAAAAACAAGTTAGCTGGGCATGGTGGCAACACATGCCTATAACCTCAGCACTCAAGAGCTTGAGGCAAGACTATCGCTTGGCGTTTGAGGGCAGCCTAGATATGAAATGAGTGCAAGACCATGGGCCGGGAGGTAGCTCAGCAGCACAGCGCCTGTCTGGCAAGCACAAGGTCCTGATTTCGATTCCCAGTACCAAAAAGGGAAATAAAGGCCAGTCTGAACTGTGAAGAAGGCAGCCAAATAGCTCAGCGGATTAAAGCACCTGCAAGCAGGCACAGGGGCCAGGGGTTCAGTCCCCAGCCCTGCTGTGCTGGCCCCGCCCCTGGGGTGCCCTGAGAGGGCAGTTGAGACTGGGCGTGGTGGTGTAATCCCAGCTCTTGGGCGGCTATAAACGGGCAGATCACTACAAGTGCAATCTAGTAGTGAGACCCTGAGCATCCTGTAGACCCTTCCTTAAAATA